GTGAAGCTGGTGTGGTGCTCCCCTCTCTGGAGGGGGAAATCCCCAAACTCCTTGGAGACCGTTTTCTGTACTTTTTTTTTTTTTTTTTTTTTGAGACAGGGTACCTGTATTCCAGCTGGCCTAGAACTTGCTATGAAGACAAGGCTGACCTCAGTCTCACAGAGATCCACCTGCCTCTGCCCCTGCCCCTAGAATGATGGGATCAAAGGTATGCCTGGCTACCTGGTGAATTTCACCGTCATTATTAAATTCTAAAGCTAAATTTCCCAAATGGATAGGTAAAGCAGGAAGGCATGTTTGCCCTAAAAAACAAACATACTCAGGTCAAGGTTAACTTACTATAAGGTAATTGTTCCAGGAGCTTTTTAAGTGCAGAAATATTGATGAGGTTGTGGAAATGATGTACAAATGAAGTTCCGACTCCTTTTTCTCCAGATTTGAGTTGATCTGTAAAGGGGAAGCTGGGCGGGAATTTCCGATGTGAAAATCATTTCTGTTCCCATCGAACTTGAAAGAGATTTCGGTCAGAGGGTCTTTGTGATTTGGAAGCTCCTGAGGTTCTTTTGTGTTTACTGTACAAGATAGTGAGTTGACAGTTTTGTTACTAGCTGGTGTAGACTGATGACTCCTAGAGAGGGTAGGTAAGGGTCGAAAGGCACCTTGCCCAGGAAGGGACAGTCTCTTGAGGTCTGAAGGATGGAAAGTTGAGTTCTTGAATAGTATGCTCCTCTCCTGGTGGGACCTGTGGGTAGAATTTAGGGTTAAATATGGTATTCAGAATTTAATAGTGAGGAACCAAGAGAATCCAGCAGCTCATTTCAGCACTGAATTGAATCATTCATTGAAAACAAATAAGTTTGCACAAATAGAATGCTAGTTAAGAGACGGGACTTGGTCCCCAGCTGTGGCACCACTTGAAGGCTGTGGAGCTTCAAGAGGGTGAAGCCTGGCTAGCAAAGGGTCACTTGAGGTGAGCCTTTGAAGCCCATACTTGTCCCCGATTCTGGTTTGCTTTGTTTCTTGGTCCACCACAATGTGAACGACCATCAATGCATACTGTCACTGCCATAGACTGAGCCACTTTGGCATGCCTTTCTCTCTGTCATGAGCTAAAACTTCTAAAACCATGAGCCAAAATAAATCCTTCCTCCCTTAAGTCATTTTTGTAAGGTATTTTGCCACAGTAATGAGAAAAGTAACTAGTGCTGTACTCAATGACTAATGGAAATAAGGCATAGATGTCTTTTAGCATATATTTCTGCTTTTAGAAATAAAACTCTACCCAATGCAAAGAAGCAAAAACAATGCAAAAAAGTAAAAACATTGGAAGTACTGTGCTACCATTTATAGAACCTTATATTTTCATTGAAAAGGACTTTTTCATTCTAGTTTAATCTGATTATTCTTTCATTTCACATTGTTAATGGATCCCATAAAGAAAAATAAAATTTATGCAAATAAAGATATGTGGGGAGATTTATTAATAGTGTTTTCTTTTTTAATTTAATTTTTTTTTGGTCTTTTTGAGACAAGGTTTTCCTGTAGCACCAGCTGGCCTGTAACTCACTATGTAGACCAGGCTGGCCTTGAACTCCCAGAGATCTACCTGCCGCCTGAGTGTTGGGACTAAAGATGAGCGCCACCATGCCCGGCAATAGTGTTTTCTTTAATTTACAGCCCCCTTTTCTCAGAATCAGAGTCCTATCCCTTCTGTCCTCTACCACACAGTAAACAAACTGGAGAAGCAGAGAAGTAGCAGAGTATCACAAGATGGAAATCCCAGTCCTGGCTCTACCACATTATGGCTGTGTGATCTCTAATACAGTACTAGAGGCCAGTGTCTGAACTAGCCTCCTGTGTGGGGCCCCAGCAAATTCCCAGATGGAATCATTTGTGCTACGTGTCTTGTAATCCAGCATAGAGAGGATGATCCTCTGCCTTCACCCTCCCTGAGAAGACCAACATGCTTTTTGGTCTCTGTTTCTGCTTTCTTTAGTCTTTTTCTGCCTTTCCTGCTTAGTTGATCAGAATACTTGCTTTAAAGAATGATGAGTTGGTTGGTTCTAGAGTCACAAATAAAAGCCAATTAGATCTTTAAATTTGTGTAAATTTGGGGAGCTGGAGAGATGGCCCAGCAGTTAAGAGCACTTGTTGCTCTTGCAGAGAACTGGAGTTCCGTGCCCAGTCTCTAGGTCAGGTGACTCACAACCACCTGTAACCAGGGGATCAGATGCCCTCTTCTAGCCTACACAGGCACCTGCACATACATGTATATACACACACACATAAACAGACACATAAATAAGAATAAAATAAGTCTTTGTTTTAAAATGTAATTTTGTTTTTAACACTTTAGTTTGCCAATGCCTCAATTTCCTAATTTTATTTATTTATTTATTTATTTAGTCTTTTTGAGACAGCGTCTCCTTGTAGCCCCAACTGGCCTAGAAATCACTATGTAGACCAGGCTGGCCTTGAACTCACAGAGATCTTCCTGCCTCGAGGCCTCCAGTGCTGGGATTAAAGGCGTGCATCTTCAATTTTCTAATTTTAAAACAGGAGCAACAACAGCACCAACCTGAAAGGATTTCTGTAACTACTAGATTCAAAAATACATGCAATGTGTTTATAACACTGGAATCCTAAGTGGTAGCTATAAATATTACCCTTTTTTTTTGGTTGCTAGTTTATTGTTTATATTCAGGGTATCTTCCTCTCGAGTAAGACTGAAACCTCCACGAAAGTGGAAAGGCACTTTCTTTTCATTAGTTCTTAGATTAATTTTAAACAAACAAAATCCATTCTTATCTTTATAGTACTGTTGACTGTGCTGAGTTCCAGTCTTCAGCTCCTTCCCCCCACCTCACACACACAGTAGTCACCACCCTAGATCTTTCATTTCTGTTCAGTCCTCACCTAAAGTTTCTGCCAGACAAACTCTCAGGCTTAACGGTATGCCCACTAGCATTGTGATCCCAGAATAGAATCTAGAAAGGTGAGCCTTGCCTTCTTGGCTTGTGGAGAGGCATATGGTATAGAGTGTAGCAAGATTTTAATCATACAAATGGACAAGTTACTGTATGTAATACAAAACTCCTGAATGCTGTTCAGCAACTATCTTGCATTACCCTATTTTCTTCATGGTAATCTACTGGTATATAACAGTGCTACTTAAATGTGTAAGAATGTAAGATACTCACCCAAGGATTTTTGAATAAATGAATGCTATCAAATCAAAGTTTGTGAGCCAGGAGTGGTTGGGTATGCCTGTATGCCAGCAGTTGAGAAGCTGAGGCAGGAGGATTGTGAATTTGAGATAGTCTGGACTACATAACAAAACCCTGTCTTAAAAACCAGGAGGGGGATGGGAAGGGGGAAGGAGGGAGGGGGGAGAGAGAGGAGAAAGGAGAGGGGGAAAGAAGAAGAGGAAGAGAGGAGGGGGAAGAGGAGGAAAAAGTTTGTCTCCTGCTCCATATTCATATGCTGAAAATGTAACCTCTGATGTGATATTAGGAAGTGGGGGCTTTGGGAAGTGTTTAGGTTAAGAAGGTGGGGCACATATGTGGGACTACAACTTTATAAAAGAGACCTCAAACCTGAGACTATAGCCTAGCAGAGAGACAGAGCAACACGGAAAGCGAGCATGAGTGAATACTAGCAATAGAAGAGGTAACTTTTTATGGAACAAATGTAACCAACACATTTTACAACTTCATATAAAGTCACATTTAAGTGACGGTTTTAGAAATCAAATGTTATAGGCTAGCAATCCATACTCTGAGGTGCTCTGTTTTTATTTATGATAAATATAATTTATTCTAACTTATCTGGCTAATGTTTGCATGCCACATTTCAACTGTCTACCCCAAATGTATGCGAATGTTTGGTAAACACTGAAATTACATAAAGTAGGCTACTGTTTAAAGGAATACTAAGAAAACCCTATTTGAAAATCAATAAACCTGTAATACTAATAGACTTTCTAAAAATCTCTGGCTACTCTTGAATGTTACTTATTCAAAATTCAGGAATTGAGGAGCCCTCTGGGCTTGGTCCCGCCCTCACCTCCCTTTGCTTCCTGGACTGCACCGCCTCCAGTGTTCTGGTGCCAGCACCTTCCCAGGGTAAGGCCAGAGCACCCACCACAACTTGACTCCCCCAACTTCTTTTAACTTCCCAGCTCCCCTGCCCCATCTCTAGTACTAGCCTGGATAGTGGCCCATTTCTTGTCTTGGCACCCCAGACACCAGGGCCACCACTGCTTCCTGATCCATTGCATCCAGACCAACCCAGTTCCTCCCAGTAGTCCCCAGGAGCTCTTGGAGCTTCTTCCCACCCCCACCACCCTTTGCATCCCTGGGTGGCACAGCCACCAGCTTTCTGGGACCAGCATCTTTCCTGGGCCTTACTCCCAGGCCAGCCCAGCTCCCAAAATCCTGAGGCCAGCACCTTCCTGGAGGGACCCAGACCTTAGGAAAAAACCTGAGAGCATCTGAGCCTCATCTCACTTGGCCCTCTGTGGGAACTCCTGAAGACAAAAGCAATTAGTCCACTCCAATATAAAATTAATAGAACCTGAGCCTAGACCAACAAGCTTTTCATGCCCAACAAGTAAACCACAAAGGCACATAAAGTTTACAAAAAGAAGCAGACTTAAACTAAACAAAGCAAGGCTTGAATCTCACAAAAGAATCAGAAACTACGAAAGAAATTCACATGTCAAAGTCACAGAGAAAAAATAATAACATGAAAAACCAAATAATATATCCCCACCAAGAACCAACAGTCCTCTAGAGGAGTAAAATGAGAACCCCTTAGAGATAACACAGGACGTGGACCTCAAAAGAACAATTATAAACTTGATAAAAGAATTCAGTAAATTTAAAGAACACACAAAGAAAGAAATCAAAGAACTGAAGGAAGATAGGGATAAACTTCTGAATGAATTCAGAAAAGAGTTAAAAATATTGAAGAATACTCATGCTGAAATGAAGAAGGAAGTGAAACACTCAGTAAGCCAATTAGAAACGACAGGAGAAAGCCTCACCAATAGGATGAATGAAATGGAAAACAGAATATCAAGACTGGAAGATAAAGTGGACAAATTAGACCACTCAAGCAAAGATTATGAAAAATTTAGGAATACACAAAAATGGAATATGTAAGAATTGTGTGATCACCATAAATAAATCAAACTTCTGAATTATAGGCATACAGGAAGAAGAATCTCAAGATAATGGTATAGAACAGATCGTCAACAGGATTGTAGAAGAAAATTTCCCAAAATTAAAAAAAAGAAAAGACATGCCCATACAAACACAAGAAGCATATAGAACACCAAATAGACAGGACCAGAAAAGAAATGCTCCATTGGACAGCATAGTAAAAATGCTAAATGTTAAGAATGAAGAGACAATACTGAAAGCTAAAAAGAAAAAAAAAACAAGTCACATATAAAGGAAAACCCATCAGAATTACAGCTGACTTTTCAATGCAAACTATGAAAGCCAGAAGAGCCTGGACCAAAGTATTCCCAGTTCTAAATG